TAGGATAATTTCACTTGTACATTATATCATCCATTATGGATGCCATAATGTACAAGTAGAATTATCCAAACTATAATTTTTGTAGTGAGAGTGAGAGAAGTCAAATAAAGATAACAGTGAAAACAAAAACAAGAATATATTTAAATACAAATTAGGATAGACAATTTATAGTAAAGATGGATGTAAGATCTCTCAAAAATTATCTTAGGCTAGACAAGTTTTTGACATCTTTTATGTGCTCAAAGCAATGATGCTCGCACATTGGTGCATGTTATCAGCGTAAGCTTTCGTCAAATATATAACCAACAAAAAAAAGGGAGTATGAAATTTCCACTAAAACACGTGAAATATTTAAAATATTCCATGTTCCAAATATTAGATGTCATCATATATGGACATATTGTGTGTTCTTGTTTGGTAGTGTGAATTGTGTAACATTGGACATTATTAATGGACATTATATAAAGGATAAAAAAATGTGAAATATCATCTATAACATTGTTCAATCTTATCAAAATACTACACCGGTAGATAAGAGAATAATCCTCTTATTTTGTGACTATATCGTTACCTGTACTTTTTTCTTTTCTTTTTTTCCTTTTTCTTCCTATAGATGGTTCCTTGAGCCAAAAAATAAATAAATAAAATTAGAAACTAGTTGAAGATGGATGAAAGTTGAAAAGGATATATAGAAATAAACTCTAAAAAGACGCCGAAAAAATTGCAGCAGCGATCCTTAACCCTTCAATTTTTTTGCAAACTTTACCATAACCTTCAATTTGTACTAACGAAAGTCCCTAACATTTTAGAAATATGTATCGGAGGTCCAACTGGATGGAAATCCATTTGACTATTAGTTGACCAAATTAAAAAGGGTAAAATTGTAACTTAAAAACTACTATTTTAAATAAATAAATAAACAAACAAAAATAAAAATAAAAATAAAAAATTGTCTTCTCCTTCAAACAATCCCTACCCCATCCCCTTTCCCATAGCCACTAACACCGACGGCCGACCGACCACAACCACCCATCTCCCCCAAAGGCAGAGGTTGGAATTGTGCCCATCCTCCTTGAAGTAGCATTGTTGGGTAGTCCCTTGGCTCGGAAAATAGATTTAAAAATATTAATGGTTTAAAAATGAAAGACAAATGAAAATGGGGCCTCATTCAGGGCCACAGGTTGGGAGAACATCTATGGGATCCCCTGTACATCCAAGGGAAGAAGTTGTTGAAATAAATTGTGAACAAATTCTGTATAAAAATATGGAAACATTTACACGTCGTGCAAATGGTTATGAAGATTCTTCTAAGCTTAAATCTTTGGTGGATCTAAGGAGAGCCCTTGTTTGAAGTCTCACCTTCCTCGGCCACACTTCTTAACCGCGGGCTTGTAACCGAAGAGCTCGCAATATTCAGAGCCTCCAAGTCTCACCAGAAATGAACATGAATCCGAGAAGCTTCCCACAACGTGAAGCAGCAGTGCTGGGAAAAAGCGCATAAAATCAAGGATTATGACGACATCATTCCTTACTCTAAGGTGAATTTAAGTTTCATGATGCATTTTCCCAACTTGCTCGTGAAGCCTCGATTTGTAGTTTCAAGCTTGTAGGCCGCCCCGGTTGCAATTTCCCAATTTGCAGTTTCAAAATGCATTTTCCCAGTTTGACAAAGAAGTTGGCTAATTTGGGAATGGGTTTTGAAGATTTGAAAGGTAGATTTAGGGTTGAAAGTGGAGGTGGAGGTGGAGGAGAAGATGATCGCAGGAGGTGGTGGTTTAGAAATGGAAAAGAAGATAAAGATGGGGTGGGGTGGAGAACTTTTTGTTTTGTTTTTAGTTTAAATGTAAATATACAATTTTATTCCTTTTAATTTGGTCAAAATTTTATATTTTTTGGTCAATTAACGGTCAAATAGATGGTTTCCATCCAGTTGGACCTCCAATGCATATTTATAAAAGGTCAGGAACTTTCGTTGGCACAAATTGAAGATTATGATAAAGTCTGCAAAAAATGAAAAATTAGGGACTGCTACTGCAATTTTTCTAAAAATTAAAAGCCATTGTTACTAACATAAAATCTATAAAAATTACATTTCAGAAAAAGAAATCTATAATTATTTGAACTTAGGTACAAGAATTATAAAATTCATTGAACTTTGACATCATTATCATGGTGTCTCTGTGAAACTATTCTTAAATTATGTATATGAAACTTCTTGAGATAAACTATTAGGATAGTTTTGTAGGAGAGAAAAGGTATTTACCATTAACAAGTTCACCTTCAACACAAAAGTAAATATATATACTCGAACAGTGCAATAGGCGATCTGTAAAGACTTCTCTACCAGTTGAACACAATCAAATTCCCATCCCACCCCAACCCCTATATGGGTAAAAAACAGAGGGATGTGAAGATTAAGAAAGTACATCCAGCCGTACAACATATTATACCTGGTCTAAATCTGGACTAATTCATAATTATAATGAATATAATTTTAGTTAGTTGGAAGCCATGATCCTGTAGTTGTAAACATGCAAGGACATAATGAAACTTTAAGCCCTATTTTTTTTTTCATTAAACAAACATAACATTATCGGCAACTTGCTCCATCAGATCACTATATGTAGGGCCAGGCACCATCATAATTAATCACACAAACCAAAGTTCAAAAATGGGAATCCCAGAAAAGCCAGGCCAATGGCTTATCATGATATATGCAATGACATTTTGCTTCGCAGCTACTAGCGTCGCCGCTCATAAACCTTACACTTATGCCTCACCACTGCCACCAAAGCATTTGGAGCATCCATCATATAGTAACAAATCACCCCCACCACCAAATTACCTAAAGCAGCCGCCTTGCGATTACAAGTCACCACCACCTCCAGCATACTACAAGTTGCCACCACTACAAAAGCACTTAGAGCATCCAACATATTATTACAAATATCCACCGCCGTCATCATCATCACCACCCCCACCTTACTACTACAAATCACCTCCTCCTCCATCTCCTTCACCACCTCCACCTTATTACTACAAATCTCCACCGCCTCCATCACCACCACCACCACCACCACCACCTTACTACTAAAAATCAACTCCTCCATCTCCATGACCACCTCCACCATACTACTATAATTCACCACCACCTCCAAAGCATGTAGAGAGCCCACGGTACTACTACAAATCACCCCATCCACCAAAGAAGCACTACTCGTCACCACCTCCACCATACTATTACAAGTCACCACCACCTCCATAGCATGTTGAGCACCCACAGTACCGCTACAAATCACCCCCTCCACCAATAAAGTACTCCTACTCATCACCACCTCCACCGTACTACTACAAAACATCACCACCTCCAAAGCATGTTGAGCAACCACAATACAACTACAAGTCGCCCCTTCCATCAATGAAGTACTCCTACTCATCTCTTCCACCACCAAGAAGTACTCCTACTCATCACCACCTCCACCATACTACTACAAGTCACCACCACCACCAAAGCACTTAGAGCACCCACCATATTTATATAAATCACCTCCTCCTCCTCCTCCTCCATCGTTGCCACCGCTTTACTACTACAAATCACCGCCACCTCCATCTCCATCGCCGCCACCTCCATACTACTACAAGTCGCCTCCTCCACCATCTCCATCACCACCTCCTCCATATTACTACAAGTCACCTCCCCCACCATCTCCATCGCTGCCACCACCATACTACTACTCTTCACCTCCACCACCAAAACACTACTAGCACAACAACAATTTGCAACATTACAATGGAGGGTCTTGATGAGATCCTAGATGTTTGTATCTGCATGACGCATTCATTGTATCATTTTTTTTCTACGATTGTTGTTATGTGTAACTTACCACAAACATTATTAAGATTTATGCTTCCTTTCCTTGAACTGGCTTTTATTCATCAATTCAAGTCTAAATAGTGAGGAGCACTATTCAAATATTTAAATTTATACTTGTAATGGTTACCTTTAATAAAAATGTCTGACCAATGAAGCATAAAAGCGTAAGCTTGAATATATGGGGAATCACTTCACCAACCACAACTTTAGTACAGTAAGTGCAAGAAATATTTAGTATGAAAACTGTATTAGTGACATCAGATACACTACAAGGAATTATCTTTATTTTACTAGGAAATAATATGTTTAATGTCATTGAATTTTCCCACTGTAGTTCATTCGGCAATACTTTTTCTTCTTTGAAATTGATTTCTTGCTCTAATTTTGTTGTTATATCTGACACTTCAACAGATAATGCTGATACATCTAACAGTGGAAACTGAAAGCTAATTTGAGTTGTCCTTTAAGCAATTTCAAATATGAGTCAAGTAACAAAATACTTCCATAATTTATTTCAGGATACAGAAGCGATCATATTACCATAAACTTAGCTCTCGTGAGATAAACATGAAAGAAAGAAAGAAATATATTTGAAAAGGAAAAGGAAAAAAGTTGTATGAAAAACAATATAACCTCAATAAAAGGCAAGATGAAGCCACCATCGTATAAAACTATATTTCTAGTTCTTGGGTACATTAATAGCCACCTCCTTGTAACAAATTGGGCAAGCCTGTTATATTAGGAACTGTTAGCAGCATGATTTCATACTAATTTACTTTTCAAGGAAGGCTGGTGGCTTACCTTGTTGATGCTAAGCCATCTACTGCCACAAGCAGCATGGTAGACATGTTTGCATGGAAGAGTCATCTGCCTATCACCTCGGTTGTACTCCATCTGGCAAACTACGCACCTGTTAGTGACAAAAAGAAAAATATCATTATACTTTAAATATTTAAAATGAGATTTTTGATATTTTTAGTATTTAATAGAATTAGGGCTTTGATATGGGTTGTAATATTGTTAAATTCGGTATTTGTCATTTTATTATTGAAACTTTGCGCCCCTTAATAATGTTTATTACTTGAAAGAAAAAGATTGACTTTTAAGGTTAGAGAAACATGCCTAAAATAAAAGATAAGTAAGTTTGACTTCTAACTTTAGACAAACATGCATATATGTTTGGGTCATAAGTTTGGTAGGAAAAGAATTTTCTATGGCTCTCCTTACCTTTCTCCTTTGAATTTCTTTCTTGAAAATAAACCACGCTTAAACTTTGAAATTGGAAGCAACGCAATGAGATCCTCAGAAAGACCTCTGCTTTGAGTTCCAACTGCCTCGCCCAGCTCAAGTAGCTCCTGTGAAAAGGAATGAGAGTATGTATAAGTATTCAATCTGAATAACCACATCCCAGAATTGCTCTTATTCCATACGAATATTCAAAATGGTTTGCAACTACAAAATAAACTAAATGCACTTCATGAAAAATGCCTGAAAGAGATCATTCCGCATATTTTATTCACAACAGTAAAAAAAATTGTCCGTTCTTTTTCCAAATATGTAACAAAAATCATCCCTACTCAGTTTCATGATTTCACAAACAAGAACAGACAGGTCAGAGATGGGAATAAAGCAGAAAATATTCCAGAAAGACGATCCACTCAAACCAAGGGACAGTATCTGAAGCAATCTGTTTGTCCCCTTTCAAGATAACTGAAAGTGGTGCTAACACCATACTTTGCAGAAACAAGAAATGAACAGCCACTGTAAAACAAAAAGACTGAAAATGTAATGAAAATTAGGAAGGTATTGCTTCGTGCAAGTAATATTGTATTTCCTATAAAAATGAAAGAAAATAGGTATTCTCTGAAATAAAAATTATGGCTACAACAACACAAGCCATTTACGATAGGGAAAATTACACCTGGGTTCCCAATCTATGCATAGTTGAGCACTTAGGCCCCCAACCTTTCACCTTTACTGAATTAGGTCGCCAATGGACGGAAACAGCTTGTTGGACTTATAAAGATCATTATACCTTTATTTTGGATAAAAGAAAATGAAGGAAAAAAAAAGAATGACAAAAAAATCTATCCTCCCCCACCAACACCCGCCACCGCCATCCTCAAGCAGCTTCAGATTATGCATTAAGTCGTCCACAAACCAGCATTAAGCTAAAGGGATGTGTTCAAATATATTTGCCCATCCAAAACTGGCACTTTCTTTTCATTCTTCAATGGCCAAACATAATCTGAAGCTAGTATACCCTGTGATACTACAACAATAGAAATTTTTCCCTAACTTCGTCATCGGCAAATAGGTTCTATCTATGCTTTCACGAGAGCAACAATAACCTATAACATTAGGTTAATTAGAATTATAATTATTAGCTCTGTTCTGAAAAGCGCTCCTAGGCGACACCTAGGCGGGAAGCGTGACAAAAACTCTTCACCTTGAGCCCAAGCGGGAATTAAGTGGTCAACGACAATGTTGACAGCTTAATGCTCGCCCAGGCATCCCTAGGCGCGCCTAATTATTAGGGACGCCTAGACGCGCCTCCGCCTCAGGCCCAGATTTTAAGGGAGCCCAATTTTTTCCTTTTTTTTTTTAATAGAACTGAGAAGACGAAAGAACGGAGCAAAACCTTTCAATTTCTCCGCACACCGCACTAATTTGGGTATCAGGTATGTATAATATTAGGAGCTCGAGATTGATGATTTTGTATCGAATGATACGGAGGACGAATTAGATGAAGATATTGAATTGAAGTTCGATAAAGAGTTAGATTAGATAAGATTTAAGTTCTCTACGTTATGTAATTATGATTTTGNTTAGAGTCTAATAAAGAGTTAGATTAGATAAAATTTAAACTACAAGTTATCTACGTTATGTAATTATGATTTTGAATCTTATCTTTATGAAGGAAGTATTAAGTAAATGCAGTATTTTATAATTTTAAATGTTTGGTATGTATTATTTGAATTGTTGAATTTTTTTTACAATGATTAAAAATTCAAAATAAAATTAAAAATAAAAAGCATTTTTTTACGCCTGAGCTTCACCTAGGCTCTTACAGCTTGAAGCTCGACCTCCACGTCTAGCCATGCTTTACGCTTTTTAGAACACTGATTATTGGAGTTACTACACATTCCATTTAGAACTTAGGAAGCATTTGATAAAATTTATTATGACAAGGTCTCAAGACAGGCAAGGCGTAAAACAGAAGACTCATAATTAACATTTCAAACCTCATAACTCATGTTGTCAGGATCGATGTTGTCCTCCCAAACAACCTGCATTAGTTAACAAAAGAATTTACCAATTAATAACAATCATATCCTCCCTAAAGTTACAAAAGGAAATGACAAGAAAATGAAAAGCTTGAGAATCGTTTAACTACTAATGTGAAAACCTCCTACCTCATAGTCATGAGTGTTCTGTTCATTCCCAGGACCTGGAGAAACCAAAGATCAATGGTCAATGCCACAAAATAAAATCAGCAAGCTTCACCTCAGAGTAACACAAGATCGTTGCACAAGAGTATAAAAATGGCATTCACAAAAATAGTCAAATATGAATGATTGTAATACTCAAAAGCAGAGGAACACGTGGAGTGTCTTGGTTTTCTTCCCATAAAAATTTATTTCTTACAAAGTTAAAACTCTCTCTCACTTCCAGAAGATGGCCATTATAATTTACATTTTACAGCATGAAAAAACTGGGGTGTATTGCGTCTGGCTTATTTCAACATATTCTTATATGTAAAATACATAACCCATAATAAGAAGCATTAGAACATTCACAAGGCCGTGTAAGTTTTGTCACTCGTGTAAATTACATATTTAAGTTCCTCACAAAATATTCCCTCCATCCGCAATTGATTGACCTGATTTTATTTCCGTGGTCAAAAGAAAAGTTTCTCACCATAACAGACACAATGTTTAGAGAGAGAGAGAGCACTGTTATGCAAATTTGCATCCGTTCATATGCTAACAGTTCTATATAAACTGGTTGGAAACCAAAATCAGAACTTACACTCTAAAGACGAAAAGGAGTTCAAATTTTCTTCCTCATGTACGAGTGCAGCTGTAGCTTGATCATCAGCTGGCACCGGCAGGCTCTCCAAATGCCTGCTATATTCATCAATCCCTTGGATATGATCGTTGACCACATAGCCATGCGCACATTCATAGTGAGGGGAACTTTCAAGTTCAGTTACCGCAAATTTGTATAAATTAGTATTCGTCGCATAGTAAGAACTCTCCTGCACAAAGTTGGAAGCAATCACATACATTATTCTATGTATGCAACTCAATATCCCTGTTGTTCAAGTTCGAGTAAACAAGGGAAAAAACGAATACCCTTGTTTGGTTAGGGCCTAAAATTAAAACATCTGCCATATCCATGGTGGTCATGTATTGAGCAGTTGAGGTATCTATAGATTGCTCAAGCTCGGTTAGAAATCATAAGCAAACTTGAGCAAGCTCCTGTGGAATCAAATTCAGCTAACTTAAGTAACTTCATTCATCGGATATTTATCAGATCAACTTAGCCATATCAATCCGAGTTGAAAAAATTAGGGACCGCATTTATGTGTACAAGTTTGGTTTATCTTTGACCTCCAAAACCATCATACTATTATAGCTCTATGGTCATTAAGACCATTTATGGTTCGGTCAAAAAATTAACTTTTGAAAACCTCATACATGTTTGGCAAAAAAAAAAGTTAGTTTTAAGCTTAGCGCGTGATATATAACATTTTACAAGCTTCAAGCGAGCCAAGCCTAAGCACACTTCAAGTTTTCCTAGCTTCTTTACATACTTATGATGGTGAAATGATCTCAAGTGTTATATGGTCCAAAAAATTCTCTAAAATTTTTTACTTTTTACTCAATTATCAGCAAGAACAAAAAGGGACAAGACATATACTTTTCGAGAAGCAAATCAAAATAGTTCGATAATGTACCTGAGCATAAGGAGCATCGGCGAAAATGAAATTTACATGGTCATAAGTAAGACCTCCAAAAAAATCCACAGAGCTCCCTATTGAATTATAAGGCACAGCATGATTTTGGTAGTGAACTTCCATTGGCGAGTTCCAATTCATCTTTGAAAAGCTATCAAATTGTTTCCTTTCCAAATTAAATTTATCCAACAATAAGTCAATAATTCTCAATTACTCGCACATTCTTGCAAACCCTGCAATAAATCCATCAATTTTTCAAGTAAAAGAATTCGAAAAATTTCAAGTCAAAAATCTTAAATGAGCAAGGAAATTATTAAATACAAAATTTGTTTTTACATTTAGGAAAACAATAGCCAAATTCTGCGATTACAACAAGAAAAAATGTATTAAAAAATAGAATGCAGTAAAATAAGTAAAAACATCAAGAAAATAAGAAAGTTTGCATTTTCTAAGAAATTAAACGGGTCCCAAAAAATTTAACGCTAGAAACAAAAGAAACATTAAAATCAATACCACATTTACATCTACATTTAAAGAACGCCTCAGTCTCTGAAAATTTGATTGTCTGTGACGGGTTCTTTGGAAAAACTATGTATGAAATGAACAAGAAAGAACCAACCCAGAAAGAAAAAGGCAGAATTAAGCTTTACATTCTCGTTCTTCTACCAATTTTCAACCTAACATCCTTCAATAAAATATTTTTCATCATAATTTTTAGTTCTTCTTCAACCATGTATTTTCCATCCCATCAAACAAAAAAATGCGTCCTTAAACTCAAAATATGCACCAGACTACAAAAGATTGACAATCATGTTATGTTTTGGTGCACACTTTAAAATTAAACGTGGCTTACACTTTGCCAGGTGGCAACCTATGATTTGACGACTTCAAAAATTTTTTTTCAATCAATCATTTTTTAATTTTTTCAATAATTAATCCAAGTGTACAGAAATGACGTTCACAGTTATCTTACCGACCTCTCACATGAGGTGGGTCTCACGTCGGACCGACTTGATTAAAAAATGGTTCAATTTTTTTCCTATCCTCCCGTTGTGTGTTGTCCGCAGAACCTCTGTACATGCATTACGGTTCTTTTTTTATAACAAGGGCAGTGTCTATAAAAGTGTAAATGATTCCTTAATTTTTTTTTCTTGAAATCATCAAATCACAATTTGTCACACAAAGTGTAACCAAAAGTGCATTTCAAAGTGTACACCATGCATGATTGAATTGGGAGTAGTTTTGATGACAATAAAGTTGTTGAATGTTAATATTCGTATTTTATAAATTAAAGGGTAACATTCACCAAAAATGATAGAAAATGAAGGACTTTGCTTGGTGTACATAATTATTGTACATAGAGGTGTCCATAACCCTCACATG